TGGGCTTCTTAATATCAGTCAGAATGTATTAAAAACCTACAATCTAATGCATGCTTTCTTTAGTTTGGAGCTGTTTTGTTTGATTAAATCTTTGATAAAATAGCATTAATATTGGTAGTAATATTTCAATAAATATTGAGCAGGTAATTTCTTGATTACTGTATTGCGTTGAAGATGTGTTTGGTTGTGTAATGAGACTTGACAGATATAGAATAATAGCTGATATTTATGTGCATTTTACAGACGATTTAAATTCATTTACATCCAATATCTTCCAAATTGACAGCCAAATATCACCAAATTGCTATATTTCCTCCCATATAAACACATCAATGCATTTTTATTCAGATTTTACCCAAAAGCTTATTTCAAAATAAATTAGCTTTCCATTAATGGATGGTTTGGTTTGATAGGAGAATATTTGGTTCAGATTTGAAAATCTAGAATCTAAAGGTTAAGAAAATAATATTTAAATGAATACTGTGTAAATCGTCTTTAAAATGGTCTAGATTAAGTGCTTTGCAATGAGTTTTTATAAATCATTAGTAGGAAATGTACTAAATTTCTTCATGAAACATGATTTACTTTACATGATTTTATTTACTTAATATTCTAATGATTTTTGGCATGAAAGAAAAATCAATAATATATACTGACATTCTACCAGAAGTGTACATTATATGAAATATGTCATTTATTTAGTTCTCATAATAATTTTCTTTATTAAAACACTTTACAAATGTACAAACCCTGTCATTGTTCTTGTCCGCAGCTCAACCTACAGCTTTAAAAGTTTTGTTTTGCTAAAAACTGTTAGAAAAAATATTTTAAAAAATAGCAAGTTTAAGGTGTTATCATTCACATCAATTGGTTTAAAAACATGAAATTATAAATATATTGTGCAAATAAACACAACAAATATATAATACAAATATATTTACAATTGTTCCCAAGTTTCTGTCAGTCCTGTCACATTAGCATTAAATTTAACATAAAATGCGTGCAATACACATTTAGGGCTATCGGAAATGACATCATTTGATGGAAAAGCTGACAGTGATAAGAGATGTGTTCTATCATTGGATTGTATGATCTTAAGCTTATTATTGTATCATTTTTTGAAGACGGCAAGCTTAAGTCGGGCCCTGTCACGTTTCTGGTAAATTGTCCTATATATATATATATATATATATATATATATATATATATATATATATATATATATATATATATATATATATATATATATATATATATATATATATATATATATATATATATATATATATATATATATATATATATATATATATATATATATATATATATATATATATATATATATATATATATATATATATATATATATATATATATATATATATATATATATATATATATGTCCTATACATACCTGCGCAACATGATTCAGGGTAACATATAATCATATATAATAAACTCCTGATGCATCAAATATTATACAGTATTTTGTCTAAAGTGTTAACCAGCCTAAAAGAAAACCTGAATATTAATACAGATTTCATATGGTTAAAAGTCTCCTAAAACTGTTTTTTTGCAGCCACAAAATTTGTCATGTCTGTGATCATTTGGTAGCTACGCTAATTCCTCTCCTCTTCCTCTTTTCCTAAACTTTACAACTTTAGCGTCGCCCAAGTGTGAGAAATGGCCATCGGAATGTTCCTCTCAGTGTCTGAACACAATAGTGAGCTCTCTTCAGAGATCCCATCATGAGCAAATATTTATGAGAGCTGTAACCGAAGTCTAACTTATGGAAACTAAATCTTTAAACACTTGGCAGACGCTTCACACCGGGCTCTATTACGAGAAGAAATTCTTTTGTTCTTACGACGCTAATAATAGCGCTGTAAATGTAGATATATTTATAGCTGACTCGCCACCCTCACAGACAAGCCTTATATTCACTTGCATTTCCTCTGTTTATTGTATGCTACACCAGAGATTTCTCATTGGCTTGCTAGCTAAATGTTCGCTAAAGTTATGTGTTTACACATTTCTTTCATTAATCTTGTAGATAAAGCTTTTATTGTTGTCTGTGGTGCTGTTGGATAACATACTATTCATATTTGAGCTCTCCGCAAACAGGTGTTTAGCTAGCATATGCTAGTAGCAGTGATTGTTTACACAGGTGCTGCTCTATAAACACACAGAGGAGGGCTAGCGCAGTATTGCTAGTGTGTGTGCAATTGAAATAGATGATTTCAATTATTAGCATGTTGATTCTATGTTTCACTGAATCTTCATTATGAATTAATTCAAAAGGAGGCTCCATTTACTGCATTTCCCTGCTATTAAACCTGAATATATAGCTCTCATCTTGATGCTCGAGCTTTATTTGAGCTCTCGAAAGATGAAGCTTGTTAAAATCGCTACGTTATGTGGGATAAACCTCCATCAGCATCACAAAGCTCTGTGGGTAACAATAGCTGTACGAGTGTTCGCTAATTAGAGTCAGGAGTGGGTTCAGACTTTCTAGTGCTACCTTTTTTTTTGTTTGCGGTTTTTGCGTTAGCACTCCGGCGTATGATTTAGAGAGGGCACATGAGAGCTGAGCTAATTACAACTCCAACACACCACACTACGACTGCTAATGTCAAATTCGACAGCTACGCCCTTGTCTCTTTTAACAACTATTGTGCTAAACAATTAGCCAGGGCGAGAAAGTAGTCATAACATCAAGGGAAAGCTACTCCACCACGGCAAAAGGTGAAGTGCAAACACGATTAAAGGTAAATCATACAGACAGCAATTAGCCATACGCAAATGCTAATTCATGTTAAAGTGGGAATAAAGTGCTTGCACTCAAAAGCGCAAGAACAAATAATAAAACTCTATAGGGGGAAATGTAGCATTCAGCTTTATAGCAAAAGCACAAAAACTGACAAATAAATTCTATCATGGCTGGCTTTTTGGACAGAAAGTGTTTAAAAAATGTAAAGATTAACCATTGGTAATGCTATACGTTAGTCAATAAAGAGGGATGAACAGCTATTGTTCTCTGAAATGTGACATTATTTATTTTCACATGATTTCTATTTGTTTAGGCCATCAGCAATCCCAAAAGGTGCTAATGAAGACGTCAGTGGCACTTTACTTTGGCTGAAGACCCTGATTTCAAAGCGGATGTCCACCCCAATAATCACAACGTGAGTATTTCCAAAATAAATAATATCGGCCATAACATCAGATTATATTTCAAGCATACACCAGGTCAGTGCTCGGTATAAATGAATTCTAGAGCGTCTCATGAGCTATTGAACGTGATGAGAGGAAAACAATAAGGTGCCTGTAGCTCAAAGAGCATAACATGAATGATTTGAATTGGGTGCTGTCAGATTTCCCAGTGGCATATCAAAACATGTCACGGGCGGGTAAAATACAGCTTGCTCACGACCGAAATCTTTCACAAAGGCAGACATGCACGAGTTACTAAAACCCTCACAGTCTTCTCAATCCCATCAATATTTCTGTCAAGCAGATGTGTATTGTAGAAGAAAAAAAAAACTGGTTAAAACAAGAAAATAAAAAATGAACGACGCCAGACTGGCCTCTTCAGCTGATGTAGTAAACCTTCAATAATTGATCACTTGACATCATTTGAAATCCTAACACAAACACACAATGCATTTTTCAGGACATTCCCAAAACTGCTCACAAATAGACTTGAGACTCTGCAATTATTTATGGAAAGCTATGAACTAATTAGCTGCCCGGTCAAAGAAGAACATTTGTCTCATTCATATTAATGGTTTGACTGGTATACTGTAAGCCGAGAAACATTAACGCTTTATAAGTATGATTTATCAGAACATCACTTGATTATTTAAACAGAACTGATGTTAACTGATATTATTTTAATCAATCAAATTCTACTTGGATATACTGTAGAAGTTCACAAAAAAATTAAATTAAAATAAAAAATAAAATAAATTGAAAAAAAAAAAGACAAAGGAAATATGTAATTGGAAACACTTTCAATATTAATTTTCCAGTTGATGCATAACAAACAGAATGTTTGCATCTATAGTTTGCAGGAATAATCAGTCAATCTGCATCCATCCAAGTTTAAAGAGCTCAAGCTTTCAAAGTAGCACATGACATAAACTACACTGCACTTTTAAGAATCAGTTATCAGCCATTGGTGTGTACACTAATGTAGTTACCATAACAGTTAGTGAAGTTTATTTATAAACTAATTTTGAGAGGATCACGTTCTTATGATTGTTCATGGCTGGTCCCGCATTAGCTTACGATTGATTTACCAAACATATGATTCCTATCTCTCTATAAATCACCAGAGTTTCTTATCTCAGTATTTTCATTTTGAAGAACCGCCCCCCTTTACCCACCCCTAATCCCTCTCATTTTAGATGGGTGACAAGGCAGCCCAGTGATTAGCACTGTTGCCTCACAGCAAGAATGTCTCTGGTTAAAATCCCAACTAAACCAGTCGACATTTCTGTGCAGAATTTACTCGTTCTCTCTGTGTTCGCTTGGGTTTTTCACAAGTTCTCGGATTTCCTCCCACAGTCCAAAAAACAAACAAAAAAAAAAACATATAACCTAAGTATATTGAAATTACCAAATTAGCATCATAGTCAAGCTCCTAGCAAGATGCATATCTCTCCCTAGCCATACCTATATCTGTCAATTAGCCAGAAATAAGTGGGGGAAGTCCATCGAGATCTACCTGAGCTCAAACTCCACTCTCGCCCTGCTAACAGGAGGGAGCCCAGGGCTCAAGGATCTTAAAAGCTCAGAGCTTTTTCCCGAGACAGCATGCCAAACAAGCTTAATTATCAATCATCAGCTAAGTGTGAACTCTTGAATAATTTTTTGTAGGAATGTTGCTGAATTTTAGGCCAACAAACATCCTGGCTGGTTGCAAATGCATTTAAATACCTTGACATTCATGACCACCAACTTTACTTTCCTTCCAGAACAATGAAAGGGTCACATACCTTTAGTTCCCGGAAGAAGATGCTGCTCCTGGCCCATTCTACAATGGAGAACAGTGTCTGGTCAGCCATCTTGCACATTAGGCCGAAAGTGTTGAGTTTCTCATGCTTGCCTCGACTGGCCTGTTCCTGCTGCAGGTACGCAAGGATCTTGGCTTGCACCTGGGGCTCGTCTGGCTCACACTTGAGCAGCTCCACCACTAAGTGAGGGAAGGAGGGCGGCGATCCGCCTGCGTAAGCTTCTACGTAAGGGTAGCCCATGAGGGACTCTGGCGAGCTTGTGTAGGGGTCGGGATACTCTGATTTGATAGTGCGGCTCTGGAAGTGACCATACGCCTGGTAGCCTTGCAGTCCTCCGGCATGAGGTGGCATGGCCATGCTGACTGGTGAAGTGACGAAGGGGCTGCGGTCAAAGTCTGCAGGTGGCAGGCCTGCGCTGGAAGAGCTGTGGTGGTGGTGATGGTGGTGGTGGTGGTGATGGTGGCTCAGTGGAAGCCCCTTGGAGGCAGAATGGATGTTCTGAATGGCAGAGGTAATGGTGAGGTCTGCTGGGACGGTTTGCATGACTTGAGTCATGGCCTCCAGCTTGAGTCCGTTGGCCCGGATCAAGGCTTTCTTCTGTTGCTTGAGCGCCCGGTCTCGCTTGTACATGGGGCCGAACTTGTTGCGACCTCCTCTCATTCGATCGGCTCTCACAGCTTATAGAAGGACAAAGCACAAAATTAGTTGATCATAAATAATAGGAACATCACAGAATTCACACAATAAAACAGTAATTTAGAACTGAACTGATAAAGATGATGGCAATGCACACTTCTCCAATAGGTACTGCACTTAAAATTGGAATTTACTTCATAACCATTTAAGAAGTATGTTCTATATAGTATGAATATGAGCAGCATGAATGAACTACTACATACGCCATTTATCATCACATGACCTAGCCATATCAGTTGCATTGCTTCACTCCCATTCATAAATTCTCTCATGTGGACTCGTGGGATAGCAAAGTGTTCATTGGATGTACACTTCATCTCATCTTCAGAATCTGGCCAGAAGTAGTAGGTTATCCATCATCATTAATTCTGGCCAACTGTTTAGAATATTTAGACACACTACTCAGCTCGCATACTGTTTCTCACATACTACAAAGTAGGAAAATATGCGATTTCTCATATGTACAATTCAGTACAATTTTTCTTAAACCCAAAATTTTGGGTTTAAGGGTGGGGTTTGGTGCCACATCTCTTTTTAAAAATCTTACATTTACATTTTTCTGAACTCATATGAATTTGAGCAAATTAGCCACTAAATGAAAAAAAAAAAAGTTACATTCCCCTGAGATCACGCTGGGTTTGCCACATAGCTTTCTCTAGCTGTGGCCTCCATTACACTCACCCCCCTAAACCAATAACATAGCCCATGTAGATCTGCTAGACTGGTGAGCATGGGAGGTGGGCACACTTCAAAGATCCTAAAGGTTTGTCTGTTGCAAATGCGCCACTTCAGATCAGGGGATTGAGGTTATGTTCTCACTTGCTCTCATTTACCTCCTAAACCTCACTCTGACCGGGGTCATGGTACCAATATAACTCCTGTGGTTCTACTTAAACTGCACTTGATGGGATTTGGACTGTGGATTCCAGCATGGAAAGTGGGCTAGTTTACTCTGAAAGGCATGGGCATGGGCAATGTGGGTGATTGCCCAGGGCGGCATCTTGCTAGGGGTTGCATGGAGACCCACCTGCTCTTCACTTTCGTCCGCAAAAAGTCGACATGAATACTGCAAGGAACTGGTATCTTGCTAGGGGTGGCATGTGGAAACAACCCGCCAACCCCCCTTTCCGCTCATCACTTCTGTCCGCGACATCAACGCCACCCCCACCCCCGGTCTTCACTTTCATCCGTGGAAGGGCGGCACAAACACCATGAGGGCAGCATGAACATTGTTTGCCTAGAGCGTAAGTTAAGCTTGCACTGCTACTGGTGATCCCTAAAGGTTAATTTCTACGTCTGCGTTGAGTGATTGGCGTGACCCACAGTGCCTGCCTTGTGCATAGTTGCGCATTAATATTTCTGCATGCTGTTTATGTTTCTCTGCAATAACACTTCCAAAGCATTAGCTGGCAGTAGGTTTTTATGCTCCTCTTTGTCGAGTTTCTTTGCAGGTGTTTTTGTTTTTTCTGAACGCTACCTTACTGTACAAGTAGCTAAAACTCGCTCATTCTGAGGCAGGAACTGGAGGATGTGCAACAACTTTAATCATAAGATAAAAACACAAAACTAAAGTGCCCCTCTGGAGCTCCTCTTTAGGACTAGACGCCTGTAAACACTCGCTCCATTGGGTTCACAGCTCTCAGCACTGCCTACACTTGTCACAGCTACCAAGCTGACCAATCACAGAGCTTGTGCTATGAGTCATTGCGACATGTAGTTACATTATTTGAGCAGTACATGTCAGCATCGGCATCAGCCACGGCGAGGGCTATGTGACCACGCAAAGGCTACTTGGTGCAGAAGTAAAAATCAGCCTTAAACCTCACCTCCCATCATGAAAATGGCACCAGTGTTACACTAGTAATTCCAGCATTGGTGGTAGACACAAAAGGTTTGTCTGTTGCGTCTCTTAAGACCATAAGATTAGGGGAATGAGGTTTACTCAGACAGCTGCTCTCTTTTACACTCCAAGCAATCAGTATAATTTTTATCTATGCATTTTACAGTCAGTGGTGTTAGTTGTGTTACTGCCCGAGCAAACAGTTTTTTTTTTTTTTTTCAAAGCCAGACCTAGAGCAAACGCAGCATAATCGAGCCAGAGGACACAATTTGGAGAGAAACGGTGCTAATGATTCAATATTAAACTGAAGCGAGGCAAAGTCAAGCAGACGAGATCATCATTATGGCAAATAAAATGAAGAGAGTGCCACTGCCCGGAAGCGACTCTGATCCCCGCCACAGGGCAGTAGACTCCACTTTCGTCTGCTGGGTCCCATGTTAATTATTTATGCTTAATTATTTCTTTTTATGCTCCACATTGTCGGCAGGTGGATGGCTGGAGGTTCCAGCAGAGTGTTAAACACACAGTAGCAGCATATGTGCTTGTGGACACATTGGCTACTTGACCACGCTCGTTAGGCCCTAATATCTCGCAAACGGTAGATCTTAAAAAATAAAACAATTAAAAGGAAACCCTCGGTCCAGCAGCTGCCTTGGGAGTAATTTTAATGGTCCTTGTCACAGCGGTGAGTTTGTGTTTGTGTGTGTGTGTGTGTGGTTTCACCACGTGTGTGATCTGATTGATCCGGTGAGAGCAGGAGGCAAAGTGTTGCCACGGCGATCCCGCTGACAGCTCTTGTAACATCCAAAAATGATTCCAGAGCAACTTGGTGGGGGATTTTTTGGGGGTCTTAATGTGGTTGTTAGAATATCCAATCAGAAAAAAACTGGTAAGTTTAACTATTAATGATTCCTGAGCAACAGGGTAATTAATGAGCTGGAAACTAATAGTCGGCCCTTATGGGAAATCACAATTAGACCTGCGACTCAGATCATGAATGCATGCTGTACCCCCATGCACGCTTACACACTCTGTCTGACACCATCCCCCTCTTCCTTTTTGTCTTCTGATAAGATTTTTTTTCTCACTGCGTCTAATTAAACAAGGTTATTTACATGCATGTCATACTGATTTTTTAGGCATAAGACAAGGGATTTGTGTGTGCAGTTCTGACGGTATTAATAACAGTACCACACTGCCGTTGCAGCTCTATGTTGCTGAGCATGGTATGCAAATACTTACATGTATAGAATTTTTCAGTTCAACTCATCTTTATTTCTATAGTGCTTTTACAATGTAGATTGTAACAAAGCAGCTTAACATAGAAATTCAAGTCATTTAAAAGTTTGTCAGTCCAGTATTTTTTGTAGAATTTCAGCTTAGTTCATTTCGGTGTGTTTAATATTCACTGCTGAAGTTCCAAACATTGAAGAGCATCTACATTATCATCTACATTAACTTTGTGTGTGTGGCTACATTTAGAACAGCAAACAGTATGCAATTTACTGTGTGCACAGTATTGTGAAACGTGTGAAATGCCATACCATAGTATTCAGGTAATTTTGCAGTATGTATATAGTAAACTCATATTATGCACTGTGTGCAACTTTGTGAGCTATCTTTTAATATCCAAAGTAGCATACTACTATATTGCAACTTCTGTTGCCGTATATAGCTTGCAACTGTGCACACTATGCAAAGTTTCTCTTTGCATAGAATAACATTCTGTGGGTTTTTGGCTATATTTAAAATAGCATTGTACTATACTATTACCAATATTGCAGTAAATATAGTATGCATACTATGCACATATGCAACATTTTTATAGCTACTGTATGTTTGAAATACAGTACTACTACTATCATATTTGAACAATACAGTATGCACACTTCATGCATACTTAATCTTTTAGCGTGCATAAAATGATCTAGCATGTTCTCAAAAAATAGCAAGGACTAGCTTACTCATTCATTCATTCATTTTCTTTTCGGCTAGGTCCCTTTATTGGGCTAGAATCGCCACAGCGGAATGAACCACCAACTCATCCAGCATATGTTTTACGCAGCCGATGCCCTTCCAGCTGCAACCCATCACTGGGAAACAACCATTCACACTCATTCACACACATACACTACTGACAATTTAGCCTACCCAATTCACAATTCACCTGTACTGCATGTCTCTGGACTTGTGGGTGAAATCTGAGCACCCGGAGGAAACCCACACGAACAAGGGGAGAACTTGCAAACACCACACAGAAATGCAAACTAACCCAGCCGATGCTCAAACCAGCGACCTTCTTGCTGTGAGGCGACAGCACTACCTGCTGCGCCACTGCGTCCCCCCGCAGTAGCGTACTCCACATTCCAAAATGCAACCTTAACATTCCATAAACCGAAAATATTAATTTAACCCTTTTATTGACTTATAGTTTGTTGCTGGCAAAAAAAACAAACTTTTTTTCCAGCAAAAATCAGTCTGAGGCACTCGAAAAATGTGGAAAAATATTTTTGAAAAATCTTTTTAATATTATTTCACATTTTTCGACTGCCTTAGACTGATTTTTGCTGTTTATTCTGATGAATCCTTTACCCAAAGAGGATCGATACATTATTTAAGCTACCACAGAGCAGTTTTTATTTTCATTTTTAGCTAGCTTTTTTGTAGAATAGTGCAAACTTATTCAAAACATTTAGTAAGTAGTATGCTAGTATTATATTCCAAACACAGTGTGCTTCCTTTATGTACACTGTGAGAGTTTGTAGTCTGTACTGCACACGCCTGTGTGTGTGTGTACATGAGTTATAAAACCACTTTGCGAGTTACTCAAATGGCTTGCGGAAAGCAATTGCCTTGGTAATAAAAGCAGTTGCCTGATCTAATTTACTTGAATTGGCCGTCCATAGATGTTGTTTGTTTGTGCGTGTTGCGCGTCTCTGTAGACGGGGCCCGTCTGGGCAGATTCGAGCGGTGCTTATTGTCTGATTTATGTGTGTTTAATATACAGGAATATTAAGCGTTGCTTGGGCGAGAATCCCTGTCCTATCACAGGCATATGAATGCCTCCCCTGGCCGGCTCCTGACACACAGTTTGTCATGTCCGCTGGAGCTCTACTCCATGCGCACACATGAATAGCTATGATACCTATGCATAAGTAATGGGACAGGCTGCCGCTGCCACCGTCGAGCGCGCCTCTGCCCCCAAAAATGACAAAGTGCACCATGCAAAACGCGGAGCATGTTTTGAATATCCACAGTAAAGCTGCGGCAGATCGTCAGATTCATCAAGGCCCTTAATATGGATAACAGACGTTTGATGAAATCTAAACTATTTTACGCTCCGCTGTGCACAACATTGGACTCGAGCAGAATGAATAAACGCTCGGTCAAGTCTAGAGTGTAGCTTCTTTTGCTCAATGCTGATTTTACAGAGGTTAGAAAAAGAGATCAGATTCACTGTCTTAATCTGTAGCCACAAATATATGAAGGAAGATAATTACAGGCCTTCCTTGAAAGACATAACATACTCGCCTGTGCTTTTTAGAAGACTTTAAAACAGCAGCGTTTTCTTATCTGTGTTGATAATGGAGCTTCCATGGAGACACAGAAGGCCACTTGTCTGTGTCACGCTGATATGGATGTTTTGTTTTGCTACTTGTTCAGTTATAGTAAGTATTGCACTTAAATCAGCGTGGTGAAAGCTTTCTGATAATACACAAAGAAAGATTTCAACTGAAGCACTCATTTCCGGCACGTTCGTCACTACAATGTCAGGGGCCCGGGGCATCAGACTACACTAATAGATTAACATTGTTTTATTTATTTTTTTTTTTAAAAATAAAGTTAAGTCACAAGTGATTCATTCTAGGTCAAGCAGTGTTATTATTATACAGATTTTTAAAAGTTATATACTATATTCTATAGAAATGTCTTTAAAAAATACTTGAGATACTATGAATTGCCACCAATTGTGTGTTGTTGTTATATTATTACTTTGAAATTTAAATATAAAATATACTGAAATTTTTTATAAAAAACTGAATTTTTTAAATATTGCTATAAAAGCAACATATTTTACATTAATTATTGTATATTTATTTTATATAGTTATTAATAATAGGTTCATTATGTAATAATTTATGTTTATTATAAATTATTTTTATTATATATATATATATATTTTTTATAATTACTTCATTAAAAAATTATGTAATTTTCAATTAAGGGAATTTTAAGGTAAGCAGCAGTAGTAATTATATTTTTGAAGCTTACAAAAAATTTCCTAAAATTGCCTCAATTTTATCACAAAATTCTGCACCTTTTGGTTGCAGTAAGTCTGCTGTTAAGCCATATGCATGAAACATATTGCTGCGGTTTATATTCAAAACACAATTTTGGTTAATATTTTCCATCTCTGCAGCTTTCCTTAGCAATACGAGCTATCAGAAGAAGCCTGTGGGGAGTATTAGCGAGCGCTCATCTCTTTGGACGGCTTTGACAGGGTGCTGGAGGGCCTCGAATACTGTTGGTAACATGCGGCAGCAAATCAAAGCCAGCTAGCAATAAAACGACACTGCTAGAAATTCTGCCCTCCAGCAGTTAAACAATTAACAGTCATACATCGACATGTTAAGGGGAAAGAATCATGTAGGAAGCCTGTGGATTTCTTGGATGGTGGTTAAAGGGAAGGTTTGTTTGATTTTTGAACCTTTATAATGGTGGGCACTAAAAGGAGATGCTTGGCATTAATGTTCATGCTGCTCTTTTCCTTTCAATGAAAATGAATGGGGTCCAAAGCTGCATTTTTTTTTACTTAAACTACATGTAAATGTACAATAAAAAAGAATGATGCCTGCAAAATTGCTGCAAACAATTTATATGTGTTGAATTTCAACAAATAACTCATTTATTTAATGAATAACTTAAATTGTTTGTTTAAATTCAGCTCAAATAAAATGCTTACAACCACTTATACATACATATATATATATATATATATATATATATATATATATATATATATATATATATATATAAAATCCAGGAAATCATTTTTGAATAATTTTTTCAGTGTAAAAAGGTATATATTTGACAACAAATGTCTTAAAGAATCATTAGATGACATATAAAAGGCTATATTTAGGGATCACAGCGCACCACAACAAAATACTAAATAATTTTAATTATTAATTCAAAATATTTCCCCTTAGTTAACAAGATTTCTTTTTAAATTCTTAATTATTTTAAAATACAAAATATAATATTTATATTCTGACATTTTTTTAAACATTAAAGTAGACACTTTATTTGGATTTTATTTTATTTTTTTGGTAAATTTAATTTGATACAGAAAATTAAGTACATTTAACAATAAATTTTAATATTTAATATTTTAATATTTATAATATTATTTTTATATAATAATATATTTGAAGTAATTATTATTTTTATTTATATATATATATATATTTTACAAATTTATCTTTGCATACCTTTTTAAGTAACTTAATATTATTTTATTCCAATTTTAATATTTTTTATTAGGTATATTCAAACTTTTTTTTGACATAGTTTGGTCACCATTCAGTTCGATTGTATGGAAAAGAGCAGCACGAACATTGCTCAAAACGTCTCCTTTTTTGTTCTACAGAAGAAAACAGAGTCTTTTGGCTTTGTAACACCAGCAAATGATGACAAAACAGCTGTTTAAAGACCAGAAATCTGTGTTGAGTTAGCGGAAGAAATGCATGGATGAACTATAAAGACTTCTTACCCTCCAGTTTCATGCCGACTGTGAGGCACTTCTGGAAGCGACAGTAGGGGCAACGTTTCCGCTGGGTCTTGTCTATTTGACAGCTCTGGTTCTCTATACATGTGTAGCGCTTGTTGTTCTGCACCGTGCGCTTGAAGAAGCCCTGCAGAGTGAGGTGAATGAAGATGTCAAACTTTTGACCTCCGGTGTTTGTTAATGTGCTATTCAGCCACAGACAACCCACACACACATACGGAAAAAAAACGCTCGTATCCATTCACACAGAAAAAAAAGAGGTGTTACACACACTGCCACACAAGTAGACACATATAAAAGTAGAGCCACGGGCATAGAAACGCTCCCTCAGCAGTCGACGCTCACTTGGATAAACACAAACACACACACCCACACAAAAACTGACATGTGCACCCACACGCACACTTGACATGAACAAACAAAAATACATGCTGAGGATGGAAACCAACAGATTGGAGACAGAGAGTGGACTAAGTGTACCGGCACTAATAAAAAGATTCTCTTTAGTCCCATTTAGCATGGTGACCTAGTGATATTTCAGCTATTAGCATTGAAGGAATTATGAGCACAAGCCATTGAAAGTATTGTGAAACTTTAATTAAGTCTAATTTGGCTTTTTCAAGCACCTTTAAAGTCCAAATGTGACGTACAACTACCAAAATTTCTTCCAAATAAATTCCCGTTGAACGTCTCTGATCCTATTATTCATACTGCAGAAGCAAAAAAAAAAAAAAAAAAAGCAAGTGAAAAAATCCAATAAATTATATCCATAATTTACAGCCACAGGATTACAAGATTCCACCTGCAACTGTTCTGAATTCATTTTCAGGGCTGGAGAGAATCAAACGAGGAACGGCATTAACTTATTCTTGATCAACACCGTAGGGAGACTGGCCCATTTAAAACTAAAAGGATCAATATTGGCCAGAACTCAAATAACACACACATACACACACACACATGCAGTTCATAAAGTGCTTAACCTTGAATAGAGACTAAATCATTAAAACAAGGCAAATTTAAAATTATGTAAGGTATTCCACAGGTTGGTACCTATAGCATTTAAAAACCTTAAAGAGAATTTTAAATTAGATTTATTTAAATGACATTTACATCTCAGTCAAAACTCAAAAAGACGATACTGAGCGGATAAGAGATCTGTTGACAATTAAAGAAGAAAATCAACCACCGAATAACACCTTTAGGGGAAAAAAAAACACTGTGAGTCAGTGTGTGTGTGCTTTTATCTGAGAGAAAGACACCAGATTTTCAAGTGAGTGAACTCCAAAACCTTTAACGGTGTCGAGAAATAAACACACCACGGGATTTCAGTTGACAAAAATAGTCATTTTCTACCTTTAAACACACAGTCTTTTCCATAAAATCACATTATACACTAAATACATAACAAAAAAGTCCATAGGAATTTGATTTTAATAAAATAAAAACATTGTAATAATTTGGTAGGAAAAACTGAATTAAAACACATTAGATGAGTCTTTAACTAATTTGGAATCAAGTCCAGATTGTGACCCAAAAAATTTACAATACTAAAAATCATTAAAAGCAAAATTTTCATGAATGTGATGGTGCGGTTGTGCTAAATCTTACTTGGATTTGCTTCAAAATACCATTTGAATGGATGCACAACCTTCAAGGTCAACACAAGGTATTTAAAATAGTTCTCTTCTCTCTTCAAACACCAACAAATATTCTAAAACGTAAGCTTTGTTCTGTCCACAATTGTTTTTCTCCCTATCAGAACAATGCTTTTTTAGGGTGACCAGTTGAGAAGATAAAAACAGCTGATGTTACACACCTTACAGCTCTCACAGGTCAGCAACCCATAGTGATATCCGGACACCTTGTCTCCGCACACTGGACACATCTCATCCAAGTCTTCGTCGTAGGAGTAGTCCATCATTTTAAACTGTGGGGCTAAAAACATAAGAGTATGAATACAGTGAGTAACAATTTACATTACAGAACCTATTCAATTAATTAATTTATTTTTTGACAAAAAAAATAAAAAATGGTTTGGCTGTCATGTGTTATGAGGTTCGTTTTGAAAGATTAAGAAGCAGCTAAAAAAACAAGAACTGTTTGAATCTCCACAACGAAAAGACTAAACAAATTCAGAGCTTCAATGATTGAAAAAACATCATTTTAAAGCAAATATTTCAATTGTAACCATCTCTTCGGCTAACGTCTACGTGTAGCCTGCAGTTTTTGCAGAAATAAATAAAATACGAACCACCAGTTGTTCACCAAGTCTAGCCTTAAGAGTGAATTTTCTGTAAGAATATGCAGTTTTGGGTCTCTGGGAACTTGACGAAGCTACGAGTCGGGTGTGGAGGATGGTCGCAGACAGGGTAAAACTTCAGTTTCGATCTGGTTAATATTCATGATGGCTCGTAAATTGGTGTGGGAGCACGAGAGAGGCTGCTGTCTCGCGCTGAAGTGGACCGTTTAGCCACGAGGCGAACAAAAGCAAAACAAGATGTAAATGAACGAGAATTGTTTGCATGCGAAATAAAACATTTACCGTGGCGTGTGCCTTTTGTGGGCCTGCTACTTCTTTATATAAAGGAGTTAAATGTGTTTTTGTTGTAATGTCAATTCACATTTTAATTAGCATGATCACTAATAAACTGGTGCAGTTTGGGAATCATCGGCGTCTGAAGAATGCGCTTTTATTAAAATGTGAAGGAAAAAAACAGTCATAACACATTTTCCTTAGAAAAAGAAACAGTTCGTATGAGACAGACACATGTACAGTAAAGAGGAACTTTGAGCAATAAAACTAAACATATTCGCATTATTATTCCATAATAATGAAATACCCTCTAAATTCGTTATTTGTTCATTTTTTAAACACAACGCAACAAGTGCCTTTAAAAAAGCACCAACGCAAATATATGTAGCTTGCAATAATTGACAATAATCAAGTCTGAAGCATTTTCAGTTCGTCGATTATTCTCTATTTATGAATTTAGTTTTAAATGTAGCTATACACGGCTGACATGTTCACTGATTTGTTAGAATAATTTGTTAGACCTATATATAACGGCTGGTAACAGCTTGTTTTGCGACTTGTAGCGTAAAAACAAAAACAATTTAAATGAATGAATTTAAAAAGACATTTATATTTGTAAAACAATATCTTACCAAACTACACAAGGGCTGACGTTCTCTCACTCCCAATTTCTCTCGTGCATGAATTGTAATCTCATTATAGGTTACTTATCGCTTTAGGTTTGACATATTTCGTGATAATAATAAAGGTTGTTTTTCAGTCACTTGAACGCGCGCAATGCATTAGATTGCATTTTATTTAGAACGACCGAAAATGTGCGCTCCTAAAACTAATAATAAATACATCATAATTTTATAAAAACTTCATTCTTGAAGTTACGAATGTTTAAAATTCGCTGAGTTCACATTAAAAGATAAATTGTCGGTCGGTTTCTCATATGTGACCTATTGGTAGCTTGTTTTCTAAATCTATTTCGTCCTGACAGGAATCTTCATTTAAAAAGTGCAGCATATGCAGGCTTAACTATTTTGGACGATTTATGTTTGCCGTAAAGCTGAGCTCTGTCATAGTCATTATTATGGTTTCGTTTTCCTCTTCTGTTGTATATACTAAGAACAAATTCATTGACAGGTGATGCAGGTCATGTTGAGTTTATAAAAGTTCACTCAGCTCAAAATAATTCACGCTCAGCTATTGCACTTTGTTTCCTAATTTATCTTTACGCAGAGCGACTAAAGTAGGCTAAATGCAAGCAATTGGCTTCTTTTGCTCAACTATTTTACGTCTTTATCATTTGAAGCGTGTTCACGTACAAAATATTTTCTCATACTACAATTTTCAGTGACAAAACGTGTGAGCTGTATTTGTGGCGTGCAGTCTAAAAGGATCACTGACTGTGACATGTCCAACAGTGCATGGATGAGAGTGCATGGCGCACATTTCTTCAGACAAGCATGCCGCTTACCTTGCATGTTTCCAGGCATATGCCCCTGTTCCCCATGCGATCGAGCGAGTCCCAGATATTCTGACTCGACTTTAGGCAGCATGACAGCTCTGCTGAGCCGATGATGAGCGCGCGCCGCTCCGCCTGCGCGCCACCACAGATTCTCAAAAACGCCGTCCAAACGTCCGAAACAAATCCTCGGCTTGACTTCGACTACCCTTCTTTTTTCTTTTAGTTCTTCACACGCTGTGTAAGTTCATTCGGGTGGTCTTTGCAGTGACTATGATGCTGGTCTTTAAACCGGAGTGCGCGAACTGTCAGGAACTTGGCACGAGCCCCTCCTCCGCGCGCGCTCCGTGTCGCTCTATCTGTGAAGTTCAAACGGCTTCTCGCTGCTTTGTTTACGCCGCACTGACACCGCGTCGACCAATCAGCGTTCGGATCAGTGCGCTGGCGTCACGCGTTTGTCCAATCAGAAACGGGCCCGAGAATAAGCGCCTCAGTTGCACCGGCAAACACAGACAAACTAAACTAATTGAACATTACGAGACACGCCGCGCCGTTAACTGGAGCACCGGGAGGTATGTGGTGATTTAGCCTACCGGAGGGTAAAATGTTTGTATGTAGCTATTAAAAAATATAGAGAAAGGGGGAATTGGAGGCAAGACGAAAATCAGGCTAAATAAAATTTGATATAAGATCTAAAATAATCTCATAAAATTGCGTTTTTTATATATTTGCGACTTACTTATTTGCACCAAGATGCTAAAGGATTTTTAAAAGTTTAATTTGTGGAAATAGCTACATAAAACATAGTTATTTAAATTAGGAGATGCATTATTCATGTTAATACTACAGTGGAAAGAACAGTTTTGTAGTTTAATTATATCCGAATTTTTAATATTATTATATTTGTAGGCCTACTAAATAATTTAAATTGAATGTTAAAAAATGTATGACTATGTGCGGGGAAAGATGCAGGGAATGTTTCTATAAAATGTTTTAACTCGCTCTGAACGCAAAGTCTATGCGGGACGATACAATGTCAATAATATAGTAATAAAACTATTAAAAAATCTGTTATACAAATCATAACACATGATTTGCAACATAGCGAAAAGAGCTGGCACACTTAAAGAGGAAATATCGACATGAATTTAATCCGAAGATCAAAGCAAACAAGTACAATTTCTGACCTCATTTTAAAAACTCGTTATATAATGCTAAATACTATATTTATAGGCTATTGTTGTAAAACTTGATACATGTTTTGAAATGTTATTTAGATTCCCTCAACGTCGATATTAAAAAAATAATTTTGAGACATTTGACCATTCATTAAAATAGTAATGTTTTCCTTTTATAACTATTATACTGTGATGTAATAATAAAAAGAGTAGTCTATATAATACTTATCAACTAAAACTAGTAAAGTTTTAAATGTTATGCTGCTTTTAAACCATTATTCATAAATCCCGCTACTTCTTTTTCCGCTTATCAGTAACAAAACAGCGCAATAAAACGCGTAAAATGCTGTTTATGTCATTACACGCGATATAAAGCACACTACATCCTTGTTTACTAAATTAAATACCGTTTTAATAGCACAGAAAGGTCATAAAGTCGGCAATAAAGAGGAAAGAAATCATCAACAGGCCAACTTTTCACACCCGACCATCTAAAATCTTTCATTTGCGCTTCGCAATTCCTCACATTCTCCTCAGGTTTGTTAAAGATCACAATGAAAAGCAAGTACACACACTTACCCAAGTCTTTGCAGTCACGTTGTCCTAATTCACTCTCAAAACTACTGGACATTTTAGTGCAGAAATACACCAGGTGATCCACCTGAGTGGCTAGTTATATCCCACAAAACGCGTCCATTCTTTCCAAATCTTTCACCGTCGTTTGAATAGAAAATTGAGGTGTTTTTTTGCCCCAAACCATCCGCCTGACATCTCTTGACTTTCTCAGCCCTCATCCCCCCTCGCCATGACCTGCACTAAACCTGCAGTCATATCTCACCTCCTCAACAATATTCAAAACTTCTGAGGTTGATAGGTTTGCCCAGATCACGTGGAGCTGGACAAGATTGATAAGAGCCAGTTATAAAGTGACACACGAACAGATAAGCCGGAGCGGACAGATAGTACTGAAGGAATGATTAACCGGCGGACAAGACCGTCCACGGCAATGACTGAATGGAAATGAGACAGGTGGTAAAATGCGAGATCAAAAGAACACAACAGGTTGATAGTGGGCCGCAAACTTTGAACTAGTTTCTGCCAAACACGAGCGGTTTTATTGGACGTGTGAGGATCAGGATATACACGCGTGTTCACTGCGGGATCAGATGAAGTCACACCTCACAGACGGAAATAAATACACGTAAACACACCTCCAAAGTATATGTTTATACTTTTCATGTTTGTATACAGAGTCCAAAAAGCACATAGGCCTATCTAATTTTTTATGTATTCGTTTATTAAATGGGATGAATGTAGGCCTCCGTAAAACAAGTCCGTGTTTGAAGCATACGTTTTGCAAAATGTTTTAGGCTATACAAAAAGTGTAGCCTAAATGTGAAACTTTTTATATGTATGTTGTTTATATTTTACACATACATGCTTATATAAATACATAACATGAGTGAATATCTATCTATCTATCTATCTATCTATCTATCTATCTATCTATCTATCTATCTATCTATCTATCTATCTATCTATCTATCTATCTATCTATCTATCTATCTATCTATCTATCTATCTATCTATCTATCTATCTATCTATCTATCTATCTATCTATCTATCTATCTATCTGTTTATTTACTGAGGCCTAACACATTAAATATAAGCTCTAAATGTATAATATTTATTAATTATGAACAAATTTTATTAATAGTAATAGTTACATATTGTCTGTCTGTCTGTCTGTCTGTCTGGCTGTCTGTCTGTCTGTCTATCTATTTAGGATCTATATGTATAACATTTATTCATTATTAACATATTATTGCATACTTATTAGTATTACATAAATGTTACATTGATGCATTTATTAATCTATTTAGTGTATTGATTTAGTGTTTTAGTTTATTTAGTGTATTAATATATGTATAGGAAATATATAAACAACATCTCAATGCAGATTAATATACTTTTAATTCTTTGTTTATCAACTCAACATATCTTAGATGTTTGCATAATACCTAATATTATTTATTAATTTTGAATTTGTTTATTGAATTTAAACAAATCTATCTATCTATCTATCTATCTATCTATCTATCTATCTATCTATCTATCTGTCTGTCTGTCTGTCTGTCTGTCTGTCTGTCTGTCTGTCTGTCTGTCTGTCTGTCTGTCTGTCTGTCTGTCTGTCTGTCTGTCTGTCTGTCTGTCTGTCTGTCTGTCTGTCTGTCTGTCTGTCTGTCTGTCTGCCTGCCTGCCTGCCTGCCTGCCTGCCTGCCTGCCTGCCTGCCTGTCTGTCTGTCTATCTATCTTTTTAAACTCTTCAAACACATTCATATGTCCAAATATTCAACGATCCTCTCTTTCTTCCCATCTTTTCACAGCACTCCACACAAAGGAGCAATTTGATGCAAGGCGAGAGGCAACAATGCCATCTAATTTTGGCGTCAAAAGATAAAGCGTCTCGGCACAAGTGGCCCTGGCAAACACAGGCCTGTTGACTGAAGCTTGGGGACCTGATGACCCTCATGTCACCGTCTCACAGCAGCTACAAGGCACAAAACAACAGCGTCTTGACTAGTACAAGTGGACGTTCGCTGATAACACAAAAGTACCTGAGAGCTCTTTGCTTACCAGAGAGATTACCAGCCCGCTGAGGCTCAAAGCTGGGGGATTTGTCAACTTAACCCCTGTCCCCACGCTTGCCTTTTTTTCCCCCCCCCTTCAGTCGTGTTTTACGATGCTGGATGGAGCCCTGCACTAAACACAGAGGTCTTTACAGCAGAATAAAACATGGTTAAGTGTAGCGCGGCTGGGGTCAAGGTTTCAGTGGTGGAGGAGAGGGATTCGGGAGCTAATGAAAACCGGATCATGCAGACTGACGGACAAAGAGATATTCAAGTCATGTATGTGCTGCTGAGAGCTGGGCGTATGGTTACTGGAATTACAGGTGGTCAACTGAAAAAAACTGGTATCATAAAACCTAATCTATTGGTGCATTGAGTTATACATTAAATACATATTTTGGACTGAAAACAAAAATTGTAGTTGATTTAACATGACTGTTGATTTTATCAGTGGTATTTTAATATTTTAGGGCCTAAAACATTAGTTAAATCAAATTAATCTCTCAAGTTAACTCAGCTTAAATTACAGTTAACTAAAATACCAAGTTGACTCTTCATTAAGCTTAGTCTTTCACATACAAGTGCATGCAGCTATTGGAATCTTACCAGCTCGAGATTTCAGGTCTCATTTATTTCCATTGATTTTTTAGCTCGTTATGCTGATTGATGCAGCAAACTGGTATTTTCTTCTTATATTCTTATATTATTTTTATGTTTTCCAGTGATGGGTTGCAGCTAGAAGGGCATCCATTGTGTAAAACATATGCTGGATATGTTGGGGGTTCATTCCGCTGTGGTGACCCCAGATTACAGTAATAAAGGGACTAAGCCGAAAAGAAAATGAATGAATTATTGTTATGTACAGTCATAAACACACTTGTTTGTAGAACTGGTAGTTTGCTGCTTTACTGCTGTTTGTTATTCCCATTTATTTCCCCATAGTCCTAAATCAAATATAGAAAACAAACTTTTGGATTTAATAATAAGGTGAAATAAGTTGAAGCATGGTTAATTTATTTTTGTCCATTTATTTTTGAGTTCATTCAACATGTTATTGTGATACATTGATCATCAGTGTTTACAGTGTAGTTTTATTAAATGCTTTTTTATTCTGAATTTAAAATGTTTTCAAGATTAGAGTAATTCTATTGTATTTTTGTAATTTTATTGTTTTTATTTTACATATTTAATGCATTTTATAGTATTTAATTTGTATTACTTTTAGTTATTTTAGTAGTTTTACATAAATAAATAAACAAAATTTCTTTGGGAAATAGCTCGTACGCATATATTTATGTACATGATGTTTCGATAAATAAAAATAAATGCATATATATATGTGAAGAGTTCAGATGCAAAAACCTCTAAATGCCATCTGAAATTTTCTTTAAAAAATTTACATTTTTATCAGGCTCCAATGTGTAGGTTCAGTAATTTCAGTTTTATGGCAAAGAGTATGTTCTTTTTGTGGTCATTAAAATGAAATAACGCGACATAAAGAAGTCTGAGAAAAATGCTCATTTTCTATGGAAATTTCAGAC